TGTGGCGTGGGCGCGACACCGTAGTCCTGTGGAGTGGATTTCACAATGCAGCCGTCCGTTCAACTCCTGTACGGTTACGAAACCTGGTTCATCTGGTCCACAGTCATAAAGTGGCTAGCTATGTTCGACCACCGGTGCCTACGCACTTTGGCTCATGTATTGTGGGAACACCGCGTGTGCAATGAGCGTGTTCGGCGTCGCGTATTTGGTGCAGGAAGAGTGAGTGGACCGACCACTTAGAACCGTTATTTCACGAACTGGTCTCCAGCAGCTGGGCCACGTGTTGTACATGCCAGCACACCGACTCCTCAGTCCCGCGTGGTTTGGGCGACCGCGGATGTAGATGGTAGAAGTTTAAGGGAGACCAATTGATGACTTGGTCAAGAAGAATGAAACTTTCACTTCGAACTTTGTCTCAGTGCTGCCTTCAATGCTGCTTATGTATCTTCCAGCCTGATACTGACCGACTTCATCTATATGTATGCCCTTATGCATACCACTTCTGTTTGATTTCAGGCCACAAACTGCCATGTGGCTGCCCTTGTTCACGTAGTTACATATGTATTCGATGGATTTGACGGAGTTGCAGTATTCCACCTTTATGTTCGCTTTGTACGTTTTTGATAGTAAGGTCGAATATGGAAGAACCCACCCGTTATCGACTTCAATGTCACCATTTCGCATTTGGATAGTAACTACGTTACCGCCGTCTTCTGTATTAGGGGTATCCGTCATTTCCTGTAACCGTGTTGGATAACAATACTCGACGAGATCGCTTTGAGCATTTTCCGTCTATCATCCATGGTGCGTTTGTATTTAGTGAACTGCGGGGTCTGTACCATATTTTTCGTCACAGCTTCGTGCAAGTCCTTATCGACGTCAGGATTGGGTATTTCAACACATATTACATCGTCGATTTCGTTGGAAGTGATTTTGTTGTAGAGCCATAATAATATATGGGGGTGTGGCAGTCCTCTCTTCTTTTTCCATCGCAATGAGGCTGGGCCTTACCGTGGTGCGATGGTTTGTGTGCCTCAGTGATCCATTGAGCTATACTGGGTGGTGCTTTTGCACCTTCAGAGCCACTCATACCAGATTGGTCAATGGTTAGAGGCCAGACAAACTCAGCCTCCTGGTCCTCCAGGTTGGGGGTTGGAATGAGGGTGGCTCCTTATTCCTTAAAACGGACTCCTTGTAGTCCAGTGCCAAACCCGCTGCCTTGCGGCCAGGTTTTTGAACCAAAGGCTTTGGTTGAGAACCCTAATCGTTCTCCTGTCTAGGCCTGGGCAACCTGACAGTATCCTGCCCACGCAATACAATGAATCCTTCCCCAAACCAATTTCTGATGCTCTGGCCACCGCAGAGGATTATGAACGGTGCCCTATCTGTCGCATCGAGCAGGGTGGATAGGGGTTCGGATGCTACTGCTCAAGCCTTCCCATCTTCTTACTCCCTTTCTTGCGCTTTTTCACCCTTATCGTCCCGTTCCAACTTTACTTTTATCCCCCCCTGTTTTCAACCCCCCAATTCTCGGCCCTCCCCCACCTTGCTTCAATAGTCGCTTGTCTTTTAGTTTCAACTCACAGGTGAACGCAGAGCGTCATTCCTGCACTGTCAACAGGCCCATCTCCAAGCAAGCGGCCCATTACAGTTCATCGGCTTCCATTTGGAGCCCTCGATCATCCTTCAGACTGGCATGCCTCAGTGTTCGCACATTGCTTCAGATCGGTCAACAGGCAGCACTTTCCCGAATATTGGAGACCCTCTCGATCGATATCTGCTGTTTATCGGAGACCCGCCTGCAAGACTCGATCTGTTTACTCACGCTGCGATCCCCTTCAGGTGACACTAGCAGCATTTTCTCATTGCGCCTATCCGGTGACGATGCAGCTTCGAGAACCGGCCAAGCTGGTGTTGGTATTGCCCTGCGTCCCCGAGCTGAAGCTGCTCTGGTTGATTGGATTCCAATCAGTAGCCGGAGGTGTGCGGTCCGATTGGCTGGCTCGTTCAAAACTTCGAAGTCGCGTGGGACCAACAGGTGTCTATTCGTTATCGCTGCCTATGCACCGACTATCTGTAGCGATGACTCGGTAAAAGACGACTTCTATCGCCAACTGACTCTGCTCCTTCGCCACAGAAAAAGCTCGGACACTGTAGTGCTGGCTGGGGATCTGAACGCTCAAGTTGGAAAATTATCCACAGATGAGCTGCATCTGGGCGGCCAACATGGTATAGGCTCCCGTAATGATAACGGTGCGCGGTTACTTCATTTGTGTGAGGATGCTCGCTTATTTCTTGCGAGCACTAATTTCCGACACAGCACCCACCGGAGGGTGACTTGGCGCCCACCAGCCTCGAACCAGCTATGGACGCAAATCGATCACATTGCGATAAGTTACCGATGGAGAGGCTGCGTCCAGAACTGTCGCTCGATTTGGGGCACAGGTGTTGACACCGATCATGCACTTGTATGTGCTGACCTGCGGATGCGTTTTGGCGGACGCCCGCGACGATGTTGTGATCGCATTGACATCGGCAGACTGGTGAATCCAGCTGTTCTGAACGCCTATCAAATTACGCTGTCATCCGAGTTGGGTAAACGCTCACTGGATGCAATTGAAGCTCACTGGTCTCATATGCAACAGGCCTTACTAGCAGCAGGCAAATCCTCATGTGGTATGTCTAATCGCCAACATGAACATTGGGTCTCTTCACAGTCTTTGGAACTTATAGATGCTCGTCGGTCTATTCCGGCTGGAAGCGAACACAATGAAACTCGCAAAGAGCTCCGGGCAAAGCTCCGTGCTAGCCTGAAGAAAGATCGCGAATCCTGGTGGTCTCGTCGTTCATCAGAGGTGGAAATGGCCGCTGCCCTTGGTAACCATCGTGAGTTATTCCGTTTGATACGGGAAACGGGCAGCAGGAGACCTGGTGTTAGTGAAACTATACGTGACGAGAGTGGACAGCCTATACACAACTTATCAAAACGCCTGGAACGTTGGGCTGAGCACTTAAAAGGGCAATTAAATCGGTCGGAATTGTTAGATTTCTCGCCGACCAGTGATCGCCCTGCTCCGTGGGCTGTACCTTTGGATCCACCCTCTCGCTCAGAAGTCGAACAAGAGATCAAACTGTTGAAGTTAAGTAAAGCCGCGGGACCTGATAACCTTCCTCCAGCCCTCTTCAAATTCGGGGGACCTGCTCTTGTGGATGATTTACACGAATTACTAGTGAGACTGTGGGAGCAGGAAACTGTCCCAACCGATTGGAGCCGCTCCATCATAGTTCCAATTTTCAAAGGAGGCTTACGATCGGAATGCGGCAACCATAGAGGAATCAGTCTGATCTCCATCGCCTCCAAATTGCTTGCCTCAGTCATCCTTCACAGACTGACTGGCACTCGTGAAAGCCAGATTCGTGAAGAGCAAGCTGGATTTCGTCGAGGTCGTAGCTGCATTGACCACATCTTCACCTTGCGTCAGTTGTTGGAGCACCGTCACATATTTTGGCGGCCCACCATTGTCGTGTTCCTCGATATCAAAGGTGCATTCAATTCGGTGGATAGACATGCACTTTGGGACTGTCTACTCAGGAAAGGTGTACCTGAGAAATATGTGAATATTATCCGAGCATTATATGCGCGTAGCTCGGGCAGAGTGAGGGCTTACGGCAAGTTGTCGTCGCCCTTTAATATCTCCAGCGGCGTGAGACAAAGATGTCCGCTGTCACCTTTCCTCTTCAACTTCGCTGTTGACGAAGTCATGGAAATCGCGTTCACAGGACACGACTTAGAAAGTGTGGAGCTACTCCCAGGAGAACGACTTCTTGATTTAGAGTATGCCGATGATATTGCCCTAATCTGTGACAGCTCACAAACGTGCCAAGCGGCACTGGACAGAGTAGCACTGGCTGTCCGTCACTTCGGGTTTTGCTTCGCACCCTCGAAGTGCGAAGCGTTTCTCCAAGGTTGGTCTGGACCGCCTCCTACGCTGACCCTTGGTGGGGATCAGCTAGAAGTCGTTCAAAAATTCAACTACCTGATAAGTTGTATCAGCGCCCGTGGGATTGAAGATGAAATCACGAATCGTATAGCAGAAGCTCGGGGCGCTTTCGCTAACCTTCGCCACTTATGGCGCCGGCGCGACACCACTCTTGCCCTGAAGGGTAGAGTGTACAATGCAGCAGTACGTTCGACCCTATTGTACGGTTGTGAAACCTGGCCTCTTAAAGCAGCGGACCTGAAGAGGCTAGTTACGTTCGACCACCGGTGCCTTCGTAATTTAGCTCACATTTGGTGGGAACACCGCGTGAGCAACGAGCATGTTCGACGCCTTGTTTATGGCACAGGTCAAGGAAATGAACCGCTCAGCACCGTTATTTCACGCATCAGGCTCCGATGGCTCGGCCACGTATTACGCATGCCAGCCCACCGACTTCCGCGACGTGTGTCGTTTGCGCGCCGGGGGTGTGGATGGAAGAAGAGGAGGGGTGGCCAATCGATGACTTGGTCCAGAGGAATGAAGACCCTCACTTCTGAACTGGCCTCGGTTAGAGCGTCTCGGCTCCCTGATTGGGGTCCGAAAGACGATGAACACGTTTGGTTGGACACACTTGCTGATATGGCTAGGAGCCGACCTCAGTGGCGTTCATGCTGTGAGTATCTTTGTCATTCCCCATCCCTCTTAGCCTCCCTCTCCAACCACGATCTCATTACTTAGCCTTATATAATTTTGCATAATAATTTTTTGGGTGCACAGCAGCCGGCTGGTAGCTTACCGGGACGATGCCCATCCGTTACCGGTAGCTCAGCCAGCTTTCACCAGTTGTTTTCTTTTTCTCTCATTTTTTCTTTGTATTGCGGCACAGTAGCTGAGGTGTTCCCCACCTCTAGCTAACGTGTATGATGATGATGATGATGAGTCCTCTCTTTTGCCATTCTACTGATTACACCCAACAACCCACCGATCCAAATGCCTTGTATTTTATCACGAAGTTTATCAGCGGTTTCAGCTTTTGAAAACACGTGCTGTGATGTCATGCCTATCCACCGGCGACTGCCCAGGAAGTAAGAGCTGTTGCATATCGTCCCAAGTTGGTTTGCATGTGAACGTAATGGATAGGTCGAGACGCCCATAATGACGAACATATGCAATTGCATCTTGAGCGTACTCATCCATATGACGCAGACTGCCTGTATATGAAGATGGCAAAATCTTGAGTCTCCCAACGTCAGCTGCATTGCCGTCATTCACAACTGCATCTCTTAATTGAACGCCTTCTTCAGAGCGAAGCTTGGTCTGATCCATGCGGATGAATAACAAACGTTTCGTTTCGATTTTGGCATACATATCGACGATATGTTGGTGAAACAATTGATGACATTTCTAAATGGGATTGTATTCAATCGCTCAAATCATTAATCGGTATGAATAAATTCATTGCGCTGTATTTCTTATGTGTATCTTCGCCACTGACTGGATTTATCATTTTGGCGTTGAAGTGATCTCCATCCACCATCCCAAAAATGATAGGTTATTGCAGAGCATCGTAGCATCTATGAGTTTCGCCAACTTATCTCGGCTGATGATTTCTCCGATGAAGAACGATATCTCTTGGTTAGATTTGATCTCAGATTACAGCTTCGTCTATAATTGGAGCATTGAATCTTCACCCATGTTCTCTAGTTGGCATTTTGTCAGCATGTATGTATCAGACGTCATCATGTCAACGTCCGTTTTGAGCAAACGCACTAATTTATATTTTGATGAAGAAGCTCTTGCAATTGAGAAATCATGGAACATTTTAGGCCGGTGGAAATTCCGCAGCGTGCATTCAATTCATCATTGTCATCACTGTTGAAGTAGATTTGTAGGATTTTATGGTGATCATAAGATCGGCGGACATGAAGAGGCTAGTTACGTTCGACCATCGGTGCCTTCGCAGTTTGGCTCACATATGGTGGGAACACCGCGTGAGTCACGAGCGTGTTCGACGCATTGTTTACGGCCCAGGAAAAGGATTTGAACCGCTCAGCACCGTCATTTCACTCACCAGGCTCCGATGGCTCGGCCACGTGTTACGCATGCCAGCCCACCGACTCCCTCGACGTGCGTTGTTTGCTCACCGGGGATGTGGGTGGAAGAAGAGGAGAGGTGGCCAAGCGATGACTTGGTCCAGGGGAATGAAGTCCCTCACCTCGTAGCTAGCCACGGTTGGAGCTTCACGGCTCCCTGGTTGGGGTCCAAAAGACGGTGAACACGTTTGGCTGGATACACTTGCTGACATGACAAGGAGCCGACCTCAGTGGCGTTCATGCTGTGAGTTTCTTTGTCCCTCCCCATCCCTTTTAGCCTCCCCCTCCATCTACGATCTCATTTCGTAGGGTAAAACATAATATTTTTTTTCTTTTTGCCTAGTAGCTAGCTGGAAGCTTACCGGAACGATGCCTATCCGTTGCTGGTAGCTCAGCTGGCATGCAACTGTTGTATCTACTTCTCCTTTGTGTATTGTATTGTATGTATGTATGTATTTCCTTCATGTATTGCGGCACAATAGCGGAGGTGTTTTTCCCATCTCTAGCTGATGTGTATAATGATGATGATGATGATGATGGTGATCATCTGGAAAAGGAAGCAAGGATCCGGCTTTATGGTAAATCTGTCCTTTTATTTTGAAAGTGGGCATGAATGGAGCTGGCTATAGAATTGAATGGAGCTAGTACCATTCAGGCACCGAAAGACGTCATTTGGAAGCATGAGTTGTAATTCCTGATGTTAGAGAGGAAATGTTCCGCGGCATCTTCGGCAAAGTTTTTAATGGCTCTGGCGGTTCTTCCATTTGAGGCAACTTAATTTTTCCTGCAGCGCAACACATTCTTTTCGTTTCCCCATTAACTTACAGCGGCTTACAATACGGACACACTTCAGTCATGGCGCCGATGAGCACATGCTGGCTCAAACCATAAAACTCAGCTGGATTGTACCGAAATGCTAGGCCCTTGAAATTGTGCGATTGCTGTGCACGTGGTCGTGTTTGACACTGATCTGCTGTTTCTTGTTGATGACTATCATCCACTGTCAGCCTGCCACGTTTATTCTGTTGAGAGGGAAGCATATCTGAAACTGCAGAACGGAATCGTTTTCGTAATCATGACTCCTCGATTTTGGCTGCGCGTCGCACCGCACGTATCCGAGCCATTCTCTGTCTGTATTTTTCAGTTTGCTATGCTCTTGCTCGTCTCGTTGCTTTTGATGCGAGAGTATAACGACTTACGCTTGATCTTCTGCGAGACATTACTCATGTGATCGATAGCACTGAAAAAAGACAGCAGCATATAAAATTACAAAACAATCGAATATGGAAAAGCGCGAAGTAAATCAAAACATTAAAATTACCAGAAATATTTGTATTTAATAGTAGCTCAAACTACAGCGTACTTCCCCTGCCTGTTAAACTGAAAAGTATGAAAAAGCGTTAAAAAAGCAAATGCCAAACAATACTCACGATCTGAACGCCATTTTACCGCCACAGTTCAATTTTTAGTCAATGTAACAGTCAACCTTTGCGATTGTAATGCAACTATGTATATCTGCAACTACCAATTCATACTCCTAAGTAGTGCAAACACCAAATAAATCGTCATATATAGAAACTTTAAACATTAAATATGGCATCTATACAATAAAATACGTGTGGTTGACTGATAGTAATCGCAAGAAACGTTGTATCGAAATTTGGAAGTGATCGGTGAAGAACTTTCGAAGGTTACGTCGAACCACACACCTGGTGATTTATATTTTTACTTATATAGTTTTCGATCTCCTTCAGGTTGTTTGCCTCTTGTATATATACAGTCAAGCTTATCCACGGCGACCACTCAAGGAACCTACAAAATGTGATCGTCTTGGACAGGTGGTCGCGATGGACAGGTTCACGCATAGGCGGCACTACTCATACTCGACTCCACATGTGTGATAAACTTTCAACTCGCAAATTAGATCTCTAAACGTACGGCTTCTACAATCAGTTTTAACTTCTGATGAAGGCAACAACAGTAGTAGTGTCTAATGTGGGATATATGGGTAATAAGAATGCAATAAAGTTACAGTTAATGGTCAACCTTTTAAAACGGACCTACAAATCATCGAAATCCACAAGTTTTGAAAAAATCGTACACATGCATTTCTATTGTCATAATCATTTTAAACCAGATGAGAGAAAAAAAACAAGTATAGCGGTCTGTTGCTTGACAGTTGAAATGAAAGATGAATTTAGTTTTTCCCTCTCGTTCATACTAAGTTCATGCATGTAGGTGTGTGCAGCTATGTATTGCGAAGGAGCACAAAATATCAACAACGCCCTGTGCGTCTGTGAATCTATACGTTTTCAGAACGTCTGTAGAATCCTGTTCCTGCTGGTAGTCTGATTCATTATTCACATCCTCAGCTGCTAAAATTGATGTGAGGCAGGTCCCTGTTTTTTCGGTTGTGTTACGGGTTTGGAGATAAGAATCAACCATATGGCTGTCAGCCAGTTGGCATCCAAACAATTCCTTTGCAAGCGTATCCAAAGCAATAGAGGTGGAAGGAGGTACAATTTGCTCATGTCTCAGGTCCAGTTTGCATTGCTCTCTCAGGATCTATTTCTGTAGGAAAAGAAAACCACGTTTATAACAAAAAACGCCGATTGTTAAATTCTTCACCTCCTTCCATCATTTCCGTTCCCGACATATCTTTGTTGAATTCCATGATCGTAATAAAATGCGGAAGCTTTTTTTCCTAATCTTCAATTTAAGCGTCTGAATAATACCCTAGTCGAGGGATTAAACTAACGCAGGGTTTTTGGTTTGTATGAACTGCAAATTGACATTAACTAGCTGAAATTTTTGGATAGCAGGTAAAATTGTCAACAAACAGTATGATGTTGCGCTATTTTTTCTGCACTTTCCGTCGAAAGTTTGAAGCCAATCTTTGAAAATAGCCGCAGGTCTCCTTGCCCTTTTACTATTCCTGTAAACTACCGGTAGTTTTTTCATGTTGCTATTACTAAAAATTCGAGGGTTGCCTGATTTCCCAATCACTAAAGCCGATTCTCACTCCCCCAACATGTTAGTGCACTGCATAGCTGTGATACGCTCATTGCTTCTTTTCCCACCTACGCATTTCTCTTTTTTGCCAAAAGATGTTTTATCCGACGTCACTTTGAATAAAAAAACCAGTTTCATCTAAATTAAAAATGTCTTGAGCTATGTAGTCGGAACATATTTCAAGTAATTTTGCTGACCAGTTGGATGCAGCACACATATCTGAGTCACCGCTTTCGCCTAATTGCTTACCAAACACAAAGTTGGCTACTGTTGAAAGCCTGCAACCAACCGTTTAACGCTTCAAAGTCTGGGTTTTGCAATTCTTTTGCGAAGTGCAATGCTAGATCTTGAATTACTGGTCCAGATAGTGGAATTTTTCTCACTAAAGCTGACTGGTAGCATCTCCAGCAAAGTGCGTTTATGTCTTCCTTGCCCGTTTTCATACCATTCTTTCTTTTCAGTCTTGATGCGTTGTTCTCAGTCATTCAAAACTCGGCTTTCCTCTCTAAATTTAGAAGGATTTGTGTCTTTCCTGTTCCGAAATTTTCCGCTAATGTTCGCGAACTTTTCCTTCTTGGTCTGATCGAATCACTGATATTCTTTCTTCAGGTATTGATGCCTTTTGCTTTTATTTGGAACTAGGCGTTTTATCCTTCGTAAGAATCTTCAAAAAGAACTATAAATCGAACATGAATATTCATTAAGGACATACCTCAACAGTACCCGCTCAGTGCTGACAACCGACTGGTTACACAGTAAACCACTACACACAGAAACTGATAGTCACAGTACTTGCAACTATACAACCGTGCCGCAAAACCCAGAGTGCGCGAGAGGAGTCTCACGGCTCTTTTGTTGAGTAACATAGTTCGCTGCACAGCGCATAGCGGGATACATGCGTTAGTTACATAAGGTGATATCCAGGTGGGTAATAAGTCACTTGGGCGGGAGAGCCTATGGTGCGCTGAGGCTGGTCGTGGCTAGATCCTGACAGATGGTCTACCCACTGCCGCTACTGTTGCGCCATAGTCTCATGTCTTGGGCGCCTCCTCGTGGCGACCGCTGGGTGGGAGTTGGGTTTCGCCCTTCTCCCTGCTAAGATCCAGGACACCAATCCGCATGAGTCGGCTAACTGACCATGTGCTAGACCCCTGCCTTTCGGGTGTTCATTTAATCGAAGGCTTTGACTGAGGACCCGAGTCGTTCTCCTGTCAGGAGTGGACGCCCTGGCAGCATCCTAGTCCATCCTCTTCGGAGGTTAGGAAGTGGTCGATGGCCCTCTTCCCGTAAAACCTAGCCATGGGAGACAACAGGTCTACGGGTTATAAGCTCATAGCTCGATTGGCGTAGAGCACGAGT